GATTTCAAGAGGATCTCTAAATTGCAGGAACTAAGTTCTGAAGTTGTAGATAGTAATCCTTACAGTAGGCTTATGGCACTTCAACGGATGGGTATTGTGGAGAACTATGAGAGAATAAGAGAGTTTTCAGTCGCCATAGTTGTATGTATTTCTCTCATTGTTTCAATTTTTTTCTTTCTCTCTGCTATGCAATTTAATCTATGCAAGGGTTAATTGGAAACTTTATTTTGACAGGGAGTTGGTGGTGTTGGAAGTGTTGCTGCTGAAATGTTGACCAGATGTGGTATTGGTCGTCTTTTGTTGTATGACTATGACTCTGTTGAACTAGCTAACATGAACAGGCTGTTTTTCCGACCTGATCAGGTACTCAACTCTCATTGAATTTACAATATCTCTTTTTATTCGAGTTAGTATCGTCTGCTCGATGCACATGAACTTTGTCGACTTGATTCTGATCTCTGAATATAATGGTGGCTGTAGGTTGGTATGACAAAGACTGATGCTGCTGTCCAGACCCTTTCAGAAATAAACCCTGACGTAGTACTTGAGGTAAGTTTTCTACTTGGATCTCTTATTTGATGGAGTTTTGACACATTTGGTGCTAGTCATATACGTCATATTTACTAGAAAAATAAACGGTCTAAACCGGTGCTTTTGATTTAAAGTCATGACATGACTTATTAAGTGGGAGGTCTTTCATGTATCATGTTTGTTTCTTTTGGCTCTCTCTGGATAATATATCTTCTGCTTTTTTTCTGCTGAGAATTATTTGTTTCACACCTACAGAATTCTTGAGTCATTATTTTATGTCATTGCTATTTTTCTTTTCCTAGAGTTTCACAATGAACATAACAACAGTGCAAGGCTTTGAAACCTTCACGTCGAGCTTGAAGAACAAGTCGTTTTGTCCTAGCAAGGAGGGCAGTGGTGTGGATCTGGTTTTGAGTTGTGTCGATAATTATGAAGCAAGGATGGCTATCAACCAGGTAGCTGCTACATCTTTCTTGAGAGAGGGCTTTTTTGCGTTACAAATTAAACATAGTTCTTACTTCACCATCAACCATTTTGATCTTACATTGTACACAATTAATTAGTTACACTGTTTTTATGCTTGCGAATGGAAAAGATATATAAATGTTCTAGATCGGTTTTTGATTTGAATTTATCCTTTGATGTATAGGCATGCAATGAGTTAAGACAGACATGGATGGAGTCAGGTAAATAGTATAAAAAGCTTATAATTATATGTACTTCTATTTCCTTGGGGCATGAATCTGTCCACATTGTAACCAACCTATGCACTTACGAGTCTCTGTGGCTCTTTTGTGCACAGATGCAACCTGTGAATTTGCTTTGTACTTTAGATTCTG